AAGAAAGGAAGGAGGTACAGTTGTTGTGCCAGAAATTGCTCAAATCCTGGGTGTACATGGAAGTGTGTTGTACAGTTCAACAGCATATAGACAAGTATGAGACTTTGGGCTAACTTGGTAGACTAAAACTGCATGCCTTCCCCAAAACATAAGGAAATAAGGAAATAGGAAAAGAAAAACAAGAAGCACCATAAGCAGTAATCAAGTGACGAAATATAAAATGGTACAATAAATGTTAAAAAAAAAAACACCAAAAAGCTGGCCATTATGAAAAGACTCAAGAAGATGCTGGAACAGAGTGAAATCCTAGTCATGACTGAATTCTCCAGACTGGAGAGACAATGACATTCTAAGAATTCGCACTACTGGCCCCAAATTTGAAGAGAAGCAGATGGAACAAAGTGACCTTATTTTCTCCTTCTCAGTCCATGGTGACTGAGGAACCATGGAAATGATACTGGGAGAAAGCAGTGAGTGAGGAGAGCTCCATGGCTACACATAGGACTGGAGAAATCTACTGAAGCCCAGGGTCACTGAGCAATGGGAAGGAGATGCTTCCATCTTCATCACCATGAGGTAGGGTAATGCTTTGTACAGCACAGATAGCAAAATCATGGAAGAGAGAGCAGGATTAACTTTTCCAACCAAATCTGCCCTGCCTACCATGTCAAGGGTAGGGGCCCAGCTGGGTCTTCGGCAGAAAACTTAAACTGGTTTCAGACCCGGTGAGAAGGGAGCCAAGAAGTCATCCCACTGTGTCAAACCACACAGAAAGTCTGCACAGGGCTGGCGAGCATGAGCAAAATGCAAATAAACAGCATGGCAGCAATGCAAACCCACTACAGTAAAAAAAAACAAAAAACAACAAGTAAAACCCCAAGTAAAAGCAAGCAGCTAAGATGTATATTGTACAGATTCTGTATAAAAGGAAACATAGGAACAGAAGAAGTACTTCACAATCACTTTATGTTTTAGAGTAATTTGGCTTTATAAGAAAACAAATATAATAAATCAAGAATTCAAAGATAAAACAATAGAACAAAATCAAAGAGTTATGGAAGCATTATGGAATTAGGAGAACGAAACAATAACACTCTCAAACTAGAAATTGGTAACAATGAAGAGCACAATTTAAACGTTGCTGAAATTTGAATTAGTAACATAGAAGAAAGGCTTGAGGCTGGGTGCTGTGGCTCATGCCTATAATCTCAGCACTTTGGGAGGCTGAGGCGGGTGGATCACATGAGGTCAGGTGTTTGAGACCAGCCTGGCCAACATGGTGAAACCCTGTCTCTACTAAAAATACAAAAATTAGCCAGGCATGGTGGCTCATGCCTGTAATCCCAGCTACTCTGGAGGCTGAGGCAGGAGAATTGCTTGAACCCAGGAGGTGGGGTTTGCAGTGAGCTGAGACCATGCCACTGCACTCCAGCCTGGGCGACACAGTGAGACTCCATCTCAAAAAGAAAAAAAAAAAAAAGAAAGGCTTGAGACATTCTAAATAAATGCAATGAAAAAGACAAAAGATAAAGTAATTAAATTGAAGCTAATGGATGTAAACAACAAAAAAATTCTACATAAAAACGTTGGATGTCTCCAACAAATTATTAAAAAAAAGAATAACAGAAATTTTTCTCTGAATTGAAAATAAAACTGAGTCACAAGTCCATCCCTTGTACACCGTTGGTGGAAATGCAAAATGGTATGACCACAGGGAAAGATAGTATAGAAGCTCCTCAAAAAATTAAAAATGGAATCGCCATATGAATCAGCAATCCCACGTCCAGGTATTTATTCAAAAGAACTGAAATGAGGATCTTGAAGAGATAGTAGCAACCCCATGTTCATTGCAGCACTATTCGCAACAACCAAATCATGGAAACAACCTAAATGTTCATCAAGAGATGAATGGATAAAGAAAACACAACAATTTAAATAGAGACCTGAGGAAAATAGGAGAGAATAGGAAAAATATTGGAGAATCTGAAAGTTCTCATCTGTCACAGCAAATTGCAAGTCGTGAAGAAAGATCATCCCCTGTAAAATAGGTAGCTTAAAAATACTCCAATCTTCTCATGTTTTTAGTACACTCATTTCTTAACCTCAGAGATAGCTTTTTAAAAATATAGCTTTAAAAAATGAGAAAAACATTTATTTGAAGTTCAAAAATTACTTTGATTTCACTGTAGTTTCTTTTACTTCTGTAAAATCAAAGTAAATTTAAAATTAATTCTTTTTAATGAAAAGTATATATATGAAAATAAGCCCACTTTTATAAATGGATGTTTCTCCTCCCTCTCTCTACTTATCAGTTCTTTTTTCTGTATTTTTGCATAGGAAGATATATGTCATGATTTTAACCAAATATGAACAATAGTTATTTCTGGATGTAGAATTTGGATTAAAAAAAATTATATTTGGCTTTGTGCTTTTCTGCAGTCTTTGTATTTTTAGAATAGGCATGTATCATTTTTACCACAACAGGTGATTTTTTTAAAAATTATTATTATTTTTTAAATTTTTTATTGGATTTTAGGTTTTGGGGTACATGAGCAGAGCACAACAGGTGATTTTCAAGTGTAAAAACCAAAAAAAAGACTAGAAATCAATATGACAAGATCTGTATAGTAGTCAGTTTTGGGCAGGGGATAATTGGATGATTATTAAATTCTTTTCTTTGTACTTTTCTGCATTTTTAAAATTTTCAAAAAAGTTATAGAGGAAAAAATCAAAAGGATAAGTTGAAAATATCTGCTTTATACCAACTGAATCAAAATCATGCTGGTCTCATTTATGGGCTGCCTAAGAAATTCGAGGATGGGTTGATAGAATGACTGGCTGGCCATAATGGGTTGTAGGATCTATAATAACGAGCTGCGGAATGACAGGCTAGGGTGGCACATGGCCACTCTTGGGTGGTCGAGAAGAAAAGTGACAGCATCTGAGTATTGGGAGAATCACAGCAATCGCAAAAGAACAGTCAGATCTATTCATCATTGCATGTACTCAAATATGCCATGACTCATTTTTTCCCTTGAAGCATAACACCTAGTAAATTCTGTGAACACTCATAGGTGTTAGCTTTTTCATCGACCTTTTAATGGAATCTTATTCTACTTATTAGGCACCGATAGAGATGGAAATGTTAGTGAAAACTAATGAAACCATTTTTTAAACCAAAACCTGCAGCAGATTTTGCTAAATTAATAGGAAACAGATATGTTTATCAAAAAACAATAGGTAAAACATAAAACTAGCATGGCTGAAAAGTACAATAGTAATGCCCTAACCATGCTGGCCTGATCCTTCTCTTCCTGCGCTGAGACAGGCAAGCATGGCAAAGTTGAAAGACTGTGGAGTTTCAAGCCAAATTCTTGCCCCTCCAATCACAGTTTCCTTCTCCATAAGATGAAGACCATAGTGCCAACTTTGCTGATTCGATTGGGGTATCATATGCATAAAAAAACTGTCAAGAGTTCAATGAAGGTGATTATACTGGAGGATGAAACAGGGCAAACCTGTCCTCTTCTCCAGAATAACCACAGTCTAGCTGTTACCTAAAATGTGTATGATCTTTCTTCCTAACTGCTCTCTCTCTCTCTCTCTCTTTTTTCTTGAGATGGAGTCTTGCTCTGTCGCTTAGGCTAGGATACAGTGGCCCAATCTCCGCTCACTGCAACCTCCTCCTCTGGGTTTAAGTGATTCTCCTGCCTCAGCCTCCCAAGTAGCTGAGATTACAGACACGTACCACACCTGGTTAATCTTTGTAATTTTAGTAGAGACAGGGTTTTACCATGTTGGCCAAGCTGGTCTTAAATTCCTGACCTCAAGTAATCTGCCTGCCTCGGCTTCCCAAAGTGCTGGGATTACAGACATGAGTCACAGTGCCCAGTCCTAACTGTCCTAACTGCTCTCTTTATGTCCAACTTGACCGATAACCAGCCCACACAGGCAGCTCCCTGGGGAATCTGCAAAATTAAACATGAATTAAACTTTCTTCAGAGGGAGAAGGGGGATGTTCTGAGCTGATGGCCCTAAATCTCTGTAGGAAGAACATGTGCGTGAAGCCATATTCTGAGCTGATGGTCCTGAAATCTGTAAGGGAAGAACACGTGTGAGAAACCTGTGTGTCCGCTAGGTACTAAGAGCTGGAGGGATCACAGAGATGGGTTGGTCCAACATCCTCACTTTGTAGAAAACGACACCAAGACTCAGAGAGGTGATGACTTGCTTAGGCTTGTATTACTAGTAAGTAGCAATTCTGTTACAAAATAACTCAGCATCCTGACTTGGAATAATCACTTCTATTTTGAGTCGCCAGGGAAGCTTTAATGGGAGGACTGGCTTATGGAGAAGCACAAAAGCTCACAAGCTAGACTGGGGATAAAGCATTGGCCCTGGAAACCCCTGCCATAGCTCATGATTCTAGCAGTGCACATGTCCTTGTGCTGCCTGTATATGTGTGGTGAGATTCTCACTTCCTTATTGCCGGAAAGCCTTGCCATCTTTTCTCCTCTTCTTGGTTCACCTGCTGATGAGCACATTGCCTATCTCCAGAAGCATCACTGGGCAATAACTATTAAGTGATGTGTGCATGGGGCTTGCATGAAAGAGACCTGAATGTGAGCATTCCTGGGTCCCAGAGAAAACCATGACAAGGAGCAAAGCCAGAGCTGGCACCAGGAGTCCTCTTGGACACAGAAAGAGGGGCTGAGGAAAAGATGCTGATTGGCAACTGGGGAGTTGGTAGCAGCACACTCAGGAACAAAGATACAAATATTCTTTTCATCTCTTGTGGCCAGAGGGCAGGAAAAACGGAAAAGCAGACTTCGTATTTAATCACAAGGTCTGCTGATCTCCAGAGAAGGTTGAGTTTTGGGGGTCAGATCTAGAGTAGTTTCTATCAAGACGCTGGGAAGGAGAAATTTGTCAATGAAGTCATGCCAAGAATAAACACGTGGCTACACAGACGCTTGGGGTCAGGTAGGAGTCACACTTACCGCCTCTTGTAACTTCTTAGACATCAGGTCTCTCACCTGAAGTCTGTGGCCTTGGTTGACTGTGATTCCCTCCCATGGGGACTGGAAGTCTGTGTCTGGAAGCGTGTGCTTTTTTCAAGACGAGCTGCGGGCAGACTCTGACAGCACGGGGCTGAGATGTGTGCTTTGCCACAGTTTTTATCTTCAGCCCCTACCTTCCCCTTCTATCCTCACCTTCTTTTCCTTTCTCCAGGGTCTTCCCATCTGCAGAATTGAGAAAGCACACATTTAGAAATTCCAGGAGAATGGAACAAAAATACCTCATAAAAAGGAGACATGATCTCATAGAAGAGGGATGTTTATTTGCCCCAGCCCTGGAGAAGTTCATTCTGAGAGCATAATTTTAGAGTCGGTCAGACAAACACACCTGGGAGGGAGCTGGATAAACTAAATTAGGAATAAAGAATGGCCATTGCCTCAGGCTCTCGAATCTTAAGACACTAGCACAAATTTAGAAACCCAGTCTCCAAGTTACTTTCTCCCTTCCACTGACTAATTTTCTACTTTTCCTGTTTATTCATGAACTTCTCTTTATATCTGGGGACAGAGAGAAGAATGTTCTTGGGAATTTCACAGACTTGGGTTACAAAAGGTAGCTACAGACATCAGGTGCTGGTAATGACTCTTAGAAAGAAAGTCCGTCCCAGTAGGGGTGGATGTGGACCTGGGGTTTGGATTTGGCTTCCCTCCATGCCTGCTTTTCCAGGAATCTACTTTTCCCTTAATTCGATCTCCATTTATTCTCTTTTTACGAGCCTGTGGCATGTCCAGTGGCCACCTCTGACCTTCATATGCATATGCTGAGCTCAGTGTTCCATAAACAAGGCACCCTCCACCCCCCAGTTCTTGAAAAAATAAACCATTGTTAGGCCTGACACATAGTTGGCACTCAGATATTAATTAAAGAACAAAACGAGTGAGTTCTAGGTTTAACACAAATGGAGAAATGGAGGCTCAGAGACCTACTTACGCACTGTCCCAGGGAGCATCCCAGCAAGTGTCAGAGATTATAGTCTTGTCAAGGTCAAGGAAAAAGCATTTAAAAATACTAGCAAAATTCTGCCAGGAGCAGTGGCTCACGTTTGTAATCCCAGCACTTTGGGAAGCTGAGGTGGGCAGAGGTCAGGAGTTCCAGACCAGCCTGGCCAACACAGTGAAACCCCGTCTCTACTAAAAATACAAAAATTAGCTGTGCATGGTAGTAGGTGCCTGTAATCCCAGCTACTCGGGAGGCTGAGGCAGGAGAATCCCTTGAACCAGGGATGTGGTGCATTGAGCTGAGATTGCGCCACTACACTCCAGCCTGGGTGACAGAGCTAGACTCCATCTCATAAAAACAAAAAACAAAAACCAAAAACCCAGTAAAATTCTAGAGGGCTCAGGGTGTTCTCATGTCATAAGATTAGTACAGGGTGCAATCGTCGCAATTTTTTCAGTGGTGAACTGGGATGACTACCACTGGAAGAGAATGCACTGGTGGGTGCAATAGTTCAGCCTCCCTGGAGGGTTGGGGAAGTGGTAACTACTGAATTACTACTAATTGAATGCACTTGCTGGGGGTTACTGATGCACTTGCAAAAGATTGAGGGTGAATAGTGGCTCATTTAAGGCCCTTGACTTATACCAGGCAGAGGTCCTCCTTGATAGATACAAATGTTCATTCATCTCTTTTAGCCAGAGGACAGGAAAAGCTGAAGAGCAAGCTCCGTATTTAATTATAAAGACTGCTGATCTCCAGAGAAGGTTGAATTCACAACCCAGCAGGTGCACCTCACCAGGTCAAAACCGCCAATGGGAGTAGAGAGGACTCTTGAGACTCGAGATGGAGATAGTTGAGTTGATACATTCAGAATTTTTTTTAAATCCCCAGAATTCCCTGGACCCTCTGGGCTGCAGAAGTGCCTACTTTGGTCTGCAGTCATCTGAGGCTTGAAGTGTTACAAGTCTGGGACTGGGATGGTTATAGTAAGACTTGAGAAATGAAGGGAGTAATGTGGGAGATGATAAGAAGAAATGAGGTTTGCGTTCCAGTGGTCACTAATGCTCCAGTGCTTTATTGGGGTAAGAGGCAATTTAATACTTTGATGAATATAATATTGTAAGAGAAATAAATATAGCTTGCCTACATAGAGAGTAGGTGTAGTAACTCTTACATGTCCTCAAGATAGCATGTATTTTTCTCTTTTCCAATTTCCATTTTCAGTTTTATTTCATGAAATAATAACAATCTTCACAACAGTGATTAAACTAATAAATAACATTGTGCATTAGTGCATGAGAATGAAAAATGTACATTATAAATAATAATAGTTTATTTATGATACCATCTCTGCTCACCCTTTTTTTTCACCCAACAAAGTGCTTCGGGATCTCAAAAACCTACCAAACAAATACACCCATACACACCCATACACGGGAGATAGAGTTATATATGTTTATTTCACCACGTATGTGTATTTGGAAGGAAGAAGTCTTGAAAATGACAGTTTGTAAAGAAAATGGTAATTCTAGAATAAAAATCATTAGAGATGGTGGACATTTATTAAATTTATATACTACTGAAACTTGGTTTCATTAATCTCAAACTCAATTTGAACATTTTTGAAATACAAATAGATAAAAATGTTACTAACATTGCTGACTCTCAGGTGGAAAAATACATTCACATGCCTTTTGTTTTCCTTCCAAAGCTATATATATCCTGTCAATTTCAGTGGTCTGCAGATGTCTGGATTCCTTGTCACCACCAATGGCATCAACCTGGCCCGGCTGCTCCCCCAGCTTCAGAAGGTTGGTCTCAGCGCCATCAACATCAGCCTGGACACCCTGGTGCCTGCCAAGTTTGAGTTCATTGTCCGCAGGAAAGGCTTCCACAAGGTCATGGACGGCATCCACAAGGCCATTGAGCTGGGCTACAACCCTGCGAAGGTGAACTGTGTGGTGATGAGAGGCCTTAACGAGGATGAACTCCTGGACTTTGTGGCCTTGACCAAGAGCCTCCCCCTGGACGTGCGCTTCATAGAGTACATGCCCTTTGATGGCAACAAGTGGAACTTCAAGAAGATGGTCAGCTATAAGGAGATGCTGGACACTGTCCGGCAGCAGTGGTCTGCAGATGTCTGGATTCCTTTTTAAAACAACCTTTTAGGGACCAATACTAGGTTTCATTCTATTTTGTCAATTAAGTTTTTTTGGAAAAAAAAAAACACTGTTGTTTTGCTATCATTCTTCTTCAAAAGAATGAAGACTTAAAAGTAAAACAGTATGAGAGATATAATCTCACAATAAAAACTTTTAAATTTATTCAATGAATTAAACAATTAACTTCACGAAAAACTCTTGGTTGTCTCATTTATCTCATTCCTCTGGGGATCAGTGTAAAATTTTGTCACGATAGGCATTGACGCTGTACATGAACAGAAGTTTAGGACGCACTAATGTAATGTATTTCTAGGAATTAGATTTAAGAAAGTTTTAATAATTTCCATTAGAGAGATGCAGAAAGCATATTACAGGATGATTTGAAGTCGCTTGCTCTGGGGCAACTCTTCTCACATGTTAGCATCAGCATCCCTTAGACAGCATCTGAAAACACAGATTGGTATCTCATTCCAGAGTTTTTGAGTCAGTGGATTAGGGGGAAGGCATGGTCAAGAATGTGTATTTCTAACAAATTCTCAGGCAATGCTGATGCTGCTGAGCTGGAGGTCACATTTTGAGAAACGCTGCTCCACGTTAATAAAAGGCAATTGCTAAAATGTATTTTCCATTTTCAAGCAGTGTTGTAAGAACTTATCAGACTTCTTATTACTCAAAATGTAGATTCAGATCTCAACCTCTATTTTATAGAAGAGAGAATGCAATTATCTTTCCCAAGTGTTCCCATGGCCTGGGATGCCCTTATTGCCTTGTCTTTTGAGTGAATGCTGACACACGTTTTTTAAAAATTATTATACTTTAAGTTCTCGGGTACATGTGCAGAACATGCAGGTTTGTTACATAGGTATACACGTACCATGGTGGTTTACTGCATCCATCACCCTGTCATCTACATTAGGTATTTCTCCTAATGCTATCTCTCCCCTAGCCCCGCACTCCCCTGCTAGCCTTCCCTTTAGACCCCCACCCCCTGACAGGCCCTGGTGTATGATGTTCCCCTCCCTGTGTCCATATGTTCTCATTGTTCAACACCCACTCATGAGTGAGAACATGAGGTGTTTGCTGATGCTTCTTTGTAGAGCCTGTTTAAGTGTGATCTCCCTTTTCCTTAACCCCTCAGGTTGAAGCTATCTAATCTTTCCTTCCCTTTTCCCTTTTCCTTTTCCCTCCCTTCTTTCCTTCCTTCCTTGTATGAATGTTCCTATTAGATTTTGGGCTTTGTGGAGAACAGGTGCTGTAGCTCATTTATTTTTCAGTCTTAGCATGTAGCATGAAGCCTGGTATTACTTTTGTCTTCCTGTTTGGCATATCATGGAAACAGCCATATTAGTGAGTTAAGTAATCTCTGTTGGATTTGCTCCCCTAGATGGCTTGGATTATTTAGGTTAAACATTTTGTCTCCCTTTACCCTTATAAGCAGTGTATTTTTTTTGAAATCACGTGGATACTTTCTTACGCCGCACACTTAAGAAGTATCTACTATGGGGTACTAGCCAATTAGTCAAATATTGGAGCAAGCATATGGAAGTCCTCAGCCCCCATATTTGTCAATTAGTAGCCTAAGAGGCTTCCCTGTACATAGTCCTATTTAATATATCCCTGGCAAAAACTTGCATACTATTTCTAACAGCCTTGGCTGACATAAATGTGTGACACTTCAGATATCCAAATTGAAAATTCTTCAGGCTTTTTTGAATATAAAAAATACATGGAGTAGTAAATATGCCTGGAGTATTTTTTCCAAATTCCATAGGTAGGAGTTGAAAGCTAAAGCCATCTGGCGCACTCAAGTTTTTCAGTAGTTCAGTGTGTCTTCTCATTTCTTTATGTGGTATTTTTCTTTTGAAACCAAGAGACAAACATAATGACATAGCAAAATTATTGACAGGTATGAATATATGCTAAATGCAGATGATTTTATCTTTGATTTGATGAATTCGTTTTTGCCATTTTGGCCAGATTTTCAAGACCAAAGATCCTTGATTGTATGGCCCAGGTACACAGAAAAAGGCTGATTGATTGTGGAAGAGTAGGGTTCACTCCTTGCATTATATTTATCACAATTTCTAGGCCCACAGAGTTGAGGGAGCAAAACATATTTAGGCTGTAGATGGGGCTAAGGAGCAGAAAGATATGCAGATAATAGAATGGGATAGAATAGGTAATGGGGGTTGAAGTACTAAAATTTTTAAGTCATTTTCTATAGCTGACGTAAAATGTTTACCAAAATATCATAAGTTAAAAAGTGAAATAAAGAGAGAGAATTGTATTAATTTTGGCCAAAAGATGTTATTTTCCATCATACTTAGTGAATAAGAGTCACTCGTTAATTTTTAGACATGTTTAGATTGCTCAAACTCTTTCATTTGAGAAATGTAGAGGGTCCTGCCCTCAAATAGAACTGTGCAATTAATTAACATTTGTTTGAAGTGCTTTGTGACATTTCATTCAAAGGTGTCCACGAGATGCCACATGCTATTAGAAGTAGCAATCCTTGTTTTGTTTGTAGACAATTCAATTATAGAAAAGACCCAGAAAGAAGTTGTGAAAGAAATATCATTAAGCAACCAAGTAGCTCTTTTCTCATGTATATTTTAAAGAGGGATCAGCTTGTGAGCCTGCAGGTAATTGACTGCAGAATTAGACTGTCCATTAGCCAAGCATTTATGGAGATTGTAAAGGGTGAGAAGTAATACATAACACGTTCACTTGTAAGAATTTCTAGGAAATTCTGGGGGAAGGAAAGGGACAAGGAAATTTATCTCTAGCCTTATTGGATATTGAGGAACTCTTCTATATTTAAGAGCAATTCTGGGTCAAGCATGGTGGTTCATGCCTGTAATCCCAGCACTTAGGGAAGCTGAGATGGGAGGATTACTTGAGTCCAGGGGTTCAAGACAGCTTGTGCAATATGGCAAGACCCTGATTCTACGAAAAAAAAAAAAATTATCTGGGCTTGGTGGCATGTGCCTGTAGTCCCAGCTACTAGGGGAGGCTGAGGTGGGAGGATTACTAAAGCCCTGGAGGCAGAGGTTGCAGTGAGCTGAGATCACATCACTGCACTTTAGCTTGGGTGCCAGAGTGAGATGCTGTCTTAGAAAAACAAACAAACCCCTCCCCACAAATAAACAAACAAACAAAGAAAAGCCCTATGCCATTATCTCTTTTATTATTCTGGCCTCAAATAAGTTCACTCTTCTGAGTTTCATAGCATTTTCAGTCTGCCATTTTTCTTACAAATGCTTCAAATGCTTCATTTTTCTTACAAATACACTGCTTCAGTCATCACAGGGAGAGGTCAGAGTCCCAGCTGCTGGTTAGGCTTTGTTTACTCCTGATGAGGGCAACTGTGTGTTAAAACGTCTCACACACAGGTACGGCCTCCCTCCAGGGGCCTCAATAACTTAACCGGTGTTGGGACAGGCAGCCGGTGACAGGCACAGTCACCTTGAATCATTTCTTTCCTCTTCTCCTATGGCTGCTCAGTGTGATGTCTCTCCTGCTGCCCCTCCAGTCAGAGGGTGGGACAATCCTATGCTTTGGGAGTGGATTTAGGAAGATGGAAAAGGCCCATTTGGCGTTCAAGCAGAACACAAGCCCAATGATCAGGTTATCAGCCAGCTCTACCCAGGAGTTTAGAGCATAATTACAGGTAATTAAAAATAACAGTTCTTCAGTTTCTATCTGTCATTGTTTTTTTATGAGAGGCCTTACAGTGTGGAAGGGAGGCCAGCTTAGGTGCCTTTAGCCAGTAGAATCTTAAGATTCATCAACTCCCTGACACTTGAGCTCTTAATTGTGTGTGGGTCTTTTATTCATCTCACAAACTTTATTGAAAGCCCAATCCATTCTTCTGCACTAGATTCAACTAAATTGTACATTCCCAGAAAGGCAAGGGACTACATCTTTAAACTTCTTTGTAGCTCTCCTCTTTTGCTCTTTATTTTAGAATCTAGCCAAGTACTGTGCACTTTGTGGGCATTCAGTGATTAGTTTTAATTAAATGAAACACTGAACAAAGTTCCAGCTTCCTGAGACCTCAGAAAAGAAGACAAGTATTGAATAGATGAGAGGACAACTTAGCAATTTTCGAGTACTATATGCCAGTGACTTTGCTAACTGCATTATCCAACAGTTCTGCCAGCTAGGGCCCAGGGCCTAGTTCTAACAATTTTGAAAGGAACTGTTAGGGTCTCCAGTGGAGAAAGTTCATGGGTACGAGCATTCTGGGACCACACAAAATATTGATTCCTGGAGTGATAGTCCAAATTAACATGAATGCTCAATTTGAGAGCCAGATATAGATAAAAGATGGAGTATTGGGAACACCAGGGCTACAAAGAGGCTACAATGGGAAGCCCCAAGGGAGAGTTGGATGTGGACCTTGCCAGAAAGAAATAAACAGAATAAAGAAAGAACAGGTGGTTTGAAACAAATGCCACGTTTTCTAATGCTCCCTGTGAACCAATGAAAAGAACTTTTGGGCGTACAGGAATTATTATTCTCATCAGAGTCTGAGTCAAGATAAATCCAGGATACTTCTAAGATTGCAGGATATTTCTCAGATTGCTAGCATAGAAAGACTGAAGGAATACCAGAAAAGCATATTGAAAATGTGGATTTAAATGAAAAAACAACAACAACAACAACAACAACAACAACTAATTTTTTGACTACACACACACATTTTATTTAAAAACAATGTAAACAATCTAAACATGAGGCTTCTTAAAATGTGAGGCCCTGGTTAAACGTCCCTCATGTTCACTTGGTGACAGTATCTGTCCTCCTAGTACAGATTGGGAAACTGAAACTTAGAAAGAATAAATGATTTGAAGGAAGTTGAACTAGTAAGAGGTGGAGACAGGATTTGAAGCTGAAGCTATTGGATTCTAAACCCCCTGTATTATTATGCTGTCATGATGCTATGAAGAAACATCTGAGACTGGGTACTTTATAAAGGAAAGAGGTTTTAT